CGGCGGGCGCCGCGGGGGCGCGCGGCTGCTGCGGAGCAGGCTGGGAAGCGTAGTTCAAGCGGCGCGCCGCGGCCGCGCGGAGGCGGGACCCCCTGCTTGGTCCTCGGGATCCGGGGTACCCCATCCCCGCTCTCCCTTGCAGGGGTCCTCTCCTGGAATCTGCGGCCCGACCCCATAACTGCTCTGCAAGGCGAGGGGAATCACAACCTTGGGAAACAGCTAGCTGTGCAGGCTCTTTAGAGAAGCTCGGGGCTACGTGTAGGGTGGATGGCTAGGGCGGAGGCGGGACCCCCTGCTTGGTCCTCGGGATCCGGGGTACCCCATCCCCGCTCTCCCTTGCAGGGGTCCTCTCCTGGAATCTGCGGCCCGACCCCATAACTGCTCTGCAAGGCGAGGGGAATCACAACCTTGGGAAACAGCTAGCTGTGCAGGCTCTTTAGAGAAGCTCGGGGCTACGTGTAGGGTGGATGGCTAGGGCTCTTCAAGCTTGTGAGGAGCTGTTGGGTGAGTGAGCACCTTTGCGTGGAAGTCTTGTCAAGACCCAGATCAGTTCCCTTGTTTTCCTAATCACATTCCCTAGTTTTCCTGTACATTCGTTATTCCTAATGTCTTGTGTGACAGACATGGTAACTTTGACTTTTTTACATTGTGCATTTGTCACAAGTTATAGCCTTTTGTTAAATAATGGGACAGATCAAGCCAGCAGTTTTCCCAGAGAAAGCTGATGGTAGGTATAAACTGAAAATAATAAAGCAATTCTATTCAGATTAGTAGGAGTAGCAAGGGTTTGATATAGTAAAGATACTTGGTGGTGTAAAATGTCTGTGTGTGATGAAATGACTGAAGCATAATTCAGATGAAGGCTGTAAAAGGAAACAGGCATAAAAATGATTTATGTTAAAGTCATAGTGGGCAGCCAAAGCAGAGATACAAGAGCAATCTGACAGTCTCAGGGCCATGTTTAAGCTCTGGGAGGATGTTGACATCAAACTAAGGAAAGTGAGTTGTGAAAAGGAGCTTCTTATCAATCTCTATGCGAGGAGCGCTAGAAGCCAGTAGGTGTTAATGGATGAGTGAGGAAGTAACCTTTCTACTTTTAAAACTTAATGGAAAGATATTATCCGTTGTAGTCTGTTAAGTTCTTTTAAATCTTATGTGAATGTTTCAAAATTTTTTTTTTATATTTTAAATTTTAATTAGCTTTAAGTATGTAGTACACTGGTTAGACATCTATATAGTTAGTAAAACGATCCCCCCAATTGCTCCCTTCCTCCCCTGACCCTCCACCTAGCCAATGTTTAATGCTAATTGTATCTCCTATGCCATGCTCCCTATCCCCCTGACCATCTATCAGCTACTAATTTGTACTTCTTTAACCTTTCACCCCATTTTCCCAGTCCCTCAAACCTCACTCCCCTCTGTCACCAACTTGTCCACTATATTTGCAAGTCTGTTTTTGATCGGTTTGTTCTTTTTATTCCTTAAATTCCGCATATAAGTGAAATCATATAGTGTTTATCTTTCTCTGTCTGATTTAAATACCTTCTAGATTCATCACAGCAATATCTTTTTCCATTCCCTTCGTTTTCGTATGTAGAGGTCTTGTTTTCTTATCCTTTCAGCCATGCTATCTTTTGGTTGGAGTACTTAATTCTTTTCCATTTAAGGTAGGAATGTAGTTACCATTCTTTATTCCTGGTTTTGATACATGTTTTTCCTTCTTAAAGAAGTACCTCTAACATTTCCTGTCTTACTGGCTTAGTGGTGATAAATTCTTTTAGTTTATTTTTGTCTAGGAAGCTCTTTATCTGTCCTTCAACTCTAAATGATAGTTTTGCTGGATAAGTTATTCTTGGTTGTATATGATGGATCTTTATCCTGTTGAATATTTTTTGCCAAGCCCTTCTCTCCTGTATAGTTTCTTCTGAGAAATCAGCTGCCAGTATTATGGGTGTTCCCTTATAGGTAATTATCTGTTTTTCTCTTGCTGCTTTTAATATTCTTTGCATTTAACCTTTAGCATTTTAATTATGATGTGTCTTGGTGTGGGCCTATTTAGATCCTTGATTTTTGGAATTCTCTGAGCTTCCTGGGGTTTTATGTCCATTTCCTTCACCAGGTTAGGGAAGTTTTCCATCATTATTTTTTCAACC